TCAATGACATGAGACAAAGTATATGTGAACTGCTGTATGAAAAGTGAATTTACTCTGTAAATCTTCACCCAAATCCTAATTAAAAAAAAAAAAAAATCTCACTGCCATCAAGTCAGAGCCAACTCACAGCAACCCCTCCTTGAGTTTCTAAGGCGGTATCACTACGGAAGTATATTGCCCAATCTTCCTTCCAAGGAACAGCTGATGGGTTTGAACTGCCAGTCTTCTAGTTAGCAGTCAAATGCCTTAGGCACTATGCCACCAGAGCTCCCAGTACTTAGTAACTAAATTTGTGGGGCAGCATTAACATCTGTAATGGGGGCTTCTCACCTGATTCCTTTGATAACAAAAATTGCAAGCCCAGAGTTTTGCTCGATAATCCACTTGACTGTTTTAAGAAAAAATATATATATATTAGTTCATGTTTTAGTTCAACTTTACAAGAATCATATTTTAATAAAATTAATCATTTCCAAAACATAAACACATTCAAATTTTTAGTCAATGTGATTTTTAAAAGGCAAGTACTTTTAAACGTTCAAAATCTAACCTGTACTTTAGCACAGACATGTTCACCCAAATGGTGAATCTACTGTGACTTTATAATAAAATTAAGATAATCCTATTTTTCTTCCTTCAAATGAGTTTAGTCACATCTACACTTAGAAAACATTTATTTATTCAATTCAAAAGATATTTACTGAATGCCTAATATGTACCAGATGTTAAGCCTAGGTGCTGTTGATACAGCAGTGAATAAGACAGAAAAGGTTCCAGCTTTCATGGAGCTTACAATCTAAAACGGGAAAAGAGACAACAAACTAGCAGATGCATAAACACACAAGATAGATAGTGATAACAAAGACACAAGAAAACAAAGCAGGAGAGAATTTATGTAGGAAGACTACTAAAAGTAGGCCTTCTTCAATACAGTTGAAGAATAACTTGAATGAGAAAGAATCAGAGGAACATCTGAGGGCAGAGCAATTCAGGCAGGATGTATAGAGAGCTATTACACAAGTTCCAAGCTAGGAATCAATTTGCTATGTTTAAGGACTGGGAGAGGGGACTATGGTTAACGTGCAATGTAGATGAGAATGAGGAAAATAAATGGTACAAGATGACGGCAAAAAAAAAAAAGAAGAAGCAGCAGCTAGATTACATAGGACTTTACATGTCTTGATAAGGGGTTTGGAGTTTTCATTCCAAGTATAATAGGAATAATAGGAAGCCACTGAAGATTTTAATAACCTGACTTCCATTCTTAAAACTCTATATACTCCTAAGTTTAATGTCTTAAAGACCTAAAAGCAATGACACAAACAGACATATACACCAATGTTCACTAAGCTTTATTCACAACAAAAAGGTGGAAATCAATGCCCATCAACAGATCAATGAATAAACAAAATGTCCTACATACATACAATAGAATACTATTCAGCCTTAAAGAAAAATGAAGTCCTGATACATGATACAACATGGATGAATCTTAAAGACATCAAGCTAAGCAAAGTAAGTCAATCTCAAAAGGATAAATATTGTATGGTGTCACTTAGATGAAATTACAAGAACAAGTAATTACATAGAGAACAAGTTATCAGTGGTTACCAGTGAAGATGAGGGTGAAGGGAAACCATTCACTGAGAAGCAGTAAATTTCTGTCTATGGTAAGGGAAATTTGGCATTGAGTAAGGGTAACGGGAGCTCTGGTAGCATAGTGCCTAAGGCACTTGACTGCTCACCAGAAGGCTGGCGGTTCAAACCCACCAGCCACTCCTCAGAAGGAAGATGAGGCAATCTACTTCCGTAGTGATACTGCCTTGGAAACCCAAGGAGGGGTCGCTATGAGTCGGG